GGAAGGGGACCGAAGTCACACTCCTCCAGGGCTTCTGGGGGGGTCCCGTGGGATACTGCAGTCCCAACAATCCTGCCGAGGCGAGGGTTGGCTTACAGTATCGCCCAGGTTAGCGAATACACCTCTGTTACCAGTGCTATGCCCGAGGGCGTAGGTATAGGAGGTGCAGGCCTTCCTGGAGGACTGAATGTGTGGGCATGTGTTTTTGTGGGGTGTGGTGTGATGGAGCAACACACGTTGCACGACCTGTGCCTGAGGCAGAATCAGGCTATCTCTTTTTGTTTGTGGTTCAGAGAACCGTTGTTTATGGTCATTAAAATGACTAGCTTGGCGTGGTTGTGCTGTGGGGGCAGCCGCGCGGGCGAGGAATGCCTCCCTTGGCGGGAAGAGTCGTGGTTTGTCATTAAAATGACACACTTGGCGTGGTTGTGCTGTGGTGACAACCGCGGGAGCGGGGATGCCACCTTTGGCAGGATAAAGCGCTGTGTCTGAAACGCACTCTCGCTCTCTTCGAGATCGAGATCCGAGAGAGCTGACGTGGAAGTGGGAGTGAGCTCTAGCAGAGGACTGGGGGAGCTGTAATTGCCTGGGCAGGAGCTTCTCAGGATCAGGTAGAATGTAAGAATTACTAAAATAAAGATAACTACTACAGGGGGTCCAACCCCACAGAAAAGAGACCTACTATAAAAGACCCTCTTCGACTCGGAAATCAGACTCCTCAAGCTCATCAACATCCACGACGGATACTATACCATCCTCCAGAATAATGACCATGCCGAAAAAATCTTCACTGACACAATCATAGAACGCCTCGCCTCCAATGGGTTCACCCCACTACTACCAATAGAAATGAGGGCTAGACTCGCCCTAGTCCTTAAAAGACTTGACAGACAAATAGTCTCTGAAGACCCAAACACCCTGAAAGAAGAAATATTAACAGCAATGCCAAATGCCAAGGTAGAAGACATTTACATAATGAAAGAGATACATCCTGAAAATAAGACTCTCCAATCACCAAACAGCCAATGAAATCAAAGAAAAAGGCATCTATCTTTTCAAACTCTACATAGCTCCCTGGCAAATAGAGTTTGAAAGATTCACGGCCATAAAGCAGTGTATGAACTGCTATGGCTACGGCCATAACAAAAAAGAATGTAAAAAAGAAAAACAGACAATCTGCTCTGAATGTGGCTCCAAAACCCACAACTTCAGGAATTGCAACAGCACATACAAAAGATGCATCAACTGCGGGGGGATCACCACACGCTTGCAAACAGCTGCCCCTCAAGAAAAGAAGAGATCAAAAAAACAAATGAAACGATGGCAGAAAAAATAAAAGAAAGAGAAACACGACCAATAAAAGAAGCAGCACAAAAAGCTGCACAAGCAACAATTCAGGCAACCCAGAATGCATGGAAGCCTTTAATCAATCAAGCCTGCCAAGACATAAAAAAAAACAAGAAAAACCAGAATCAGTCCACTTAGCCCTTCCAAACAACCTCTCCAAGGAAATCACCATAATTCTGGTGCATGCCCACTTAAAACACCTAATTGATCCAACAAAAGGCTTCAGGCAACACGCCAAAGAAGCTCTCATAAAAAACAACCTCCCCCCACTCGACCTGGGAGAATCAGACTCGTGGGGCATCTTGAAGATCATTCCTCCCCCTCAGACCAACACCACCAGCCCATCATCACACCTGAGAGCACTGGACAACCAGATAAACCAAATTATGGAAGACACAACTCAAACAACCCAGACAAACACAGAGGAACCCCCACCCCAACCAGCAGACACACCTGCCAAATCAACAGAAGAACAACAAACAAAAGAGCAAAACAAAGACACACAAAACACACAAGCCTCAGTCAGACCAAAACAGAAGCAGCAACACACCCAAACACACACAAAAGACCGCAGCAGATCCACCTCTCGCTGCAAACAGAAAAGAGAGAAAGAAAAGAAAAGACCTGGCTCTGACACAGAGCAGCAGACTACGACCCAAAGCCACCCAAAACCCAGCAGCCCAGTCAGACTAATGGACGGCACAGCAAGAGAGGCCTCATACTACGGTATCAGACTTTATACACCAAACCCACACAACTATGACCACCAAGACACCACCAAAGTGGGACATGAAATCGCCAAAGGGAACATCAAATGGATTTACACCAACGCAAACTATGCAGACATGGTGACAGCCAACAACATCCACAAACACTTAATCGCCGGCGAACTGGACTTAAACCACACCCCCATCATAAAATACAACAACATAAACGAACTACAAAACGGGTTTTACACCAAAAAAAAACATAGTAAACCATGAACTCATCCTTTTCGATCCTACAGCGCCTTACTATCATCCAACACAATGTCCTACATTGGACATTCGACCGCCGGAACGAGCTCTGTAACACATACAGGAAATACGACCCCCCACATAATCCTAATAAACAGCCACGGTCTCAACAACTCTAAGAAAATAAAAATACACACATACACAATATACCAAACCAACCACACAGGAGAACGAAACGATGGCGTTGCTCTCGCCATCAAAAACAACATAAATCACAAAATATACAACAACTTCAACTCAGAGCTCATTGCGGTGGAAATTAACACACCACACGGCCCCATAATCATAGCCACCGTTTACCTACCACCGAGACGCCCATACATACCGGACCAGGACATATTCCAGCTGCTCAGACACCGAAAACCCACCTACATACTTGGAGATTGGAATGCACAGCATCCCACTTTCGGGTACAATCACACAAATGCCGTAGGTCGCGGCCTGGTCTCACGCATCCTCGATGGCACACTTACACACATCGGACCCCACTTCCCAACATTCATAAACAACCGGACTGCAACCACACCAGACATTGTACTAACAAATAGATACGCCCATCTTAACATACACCTATCACAAGGAGAGATAACCACAAGTGATCATCTCCCCATAATCGCAACACTATCAACAAATCCAATCATGGTGCCCACACTTCCAAGAGAAAACTACAGAAACGCAGACTGGGACTCCTTTAAAGAAGCCCTCTCTCACACAAACACTCCTGATCTCCAAGGATGTCCAACCTCAGACATTGATAATAGTGTTGAATCCTGGTACTCTGATATCAACAGGGCAAGGCAAAGGCACATTCCAAAGACAACACACAGAACCATACCACAGCATAAACAAAATGACACTCTCCGCTCACTCACCACACAATACACCAACATCCAAAACCTTGCACAGACCCGAGGATGGGACCGAGAACTCAGAACAAGGTACAAACAAATACAAGCACAATTACACAATGTGAACAAAGAATTACATGCAGAGACCTGGACACGCCTTGCAAACGAACTCTGCCAAAACCACAAAGACCCTAAACAATTCTGGATGGCATACAAGGAACTCATGGGCACAAACAAACAACATTGCTCCTTCATCTACAATGAACAAAATGAAAAAATCTACACACAAGACATGGAAACGATTCACAGAAGGTTCTGGCAAAAAAACTTCCAGATCACAGAAGACGAAAACGAACTATTCGACGCAAACACCGAAAACGAAGTACAGGAGGCCTTAGAACAATCACTACACCTCCTACAACCAACCGACTTCATCAACTTTAACATACTCGACAGCACAAGTATCTTCAATACACCAACATACTCAATGCTTCCTTAGCCACAGGACTATTTCCGGCCCTGTTCAAGAAAGCAACCCTCTCCCTCATCCCCAAACAAACAAGTCAGTCCATTATGTCACCAACTACAGACCGATCTCTCTGCTCGAGATCCCTGGGAAAATACTCGAACGCATCATAACAAACAGACTCAACACCCACCTCGAAGCAAACAACATCCACAACCCCCGTCAATATGGGTTCAGAGCACACAGAGGCACAGAAAGCGCCATTGCCCTCGCCTATGAGGAAGTAGCACTCGGCCTCGCAAACAAAAAACAAACAAACATCATTCTCAGGGACATCAGCAAAGCATTCGACAAAGTTTGGCACGATAGGCTAAAACTCAAAATCATAAATCTACAACTACCACACAACTTCACTCGCCTACTCTGCAACTTCCTCAACAACAGAACCGCAAACATCCGCCTTGAAAACCACCTTGGACCCCCCATCCCCCTCAGGAGTGGGGTATCCCAAGGGAGCATTTTATCACCAACACTGTTCATTCTATACACAGCCGACCTCCCACTACCAGCACCATTCAGCAACCACATATCATATGCAGATGACATCACTCAAATCATCACACACCCCAGCAAATCAAAGCACATCATGAAACGTGCCACAGAAACTGCCATCACTAACATAAACAACTTCGAAAGGAAGTGGAAAATACAAACAAATACTCAAAAATTCACAATCATCCCAGTCGCCAGACTCAACGCACCAAACATACAAATACAGGACACAAAGATTCCCTATGGCAACTCGGGGAAAATACTTGGACTCTCCTTCAATAGATGGGGCATACCACCACACATAAAACAACGAATAACACAAGCAACCGCAACTCTTGCCAAACTACACCGCTTCTCACAGTGCACAACACAAAAATTAAACTATATAAAGCAGTTGTGAGACCCATATTGGAATACACACCAGTCCCATTACACACCCTATCACACACACCCAAAAAGCGAACATGCAGACGGTCCAAAACAAAGCTCTGCGCTGGACCGAAAACATTCAATACCCCCACATAGTTCTCTCGCGAACACTACACGAGAGGCACAACTTGGAACCACTAAACATCCGCATCCACACTCGAGCATTGAAAACATGGGAGAGGCTCCGACATGCAGACGATCCACTCTACACAAACATCCTTGAAACACACAGCAACACAAACACCAACCACACACTCTCACAACCACCTCCCCGCCCCATCTACACCCGCAGATCATAACATGTATAGATATGTGTCTGCATATGTATATATGTGTGTAAATATGTATATAAATAAATAAATAACACTAAAAGAGTGAGACGTCCCAACCCCTCGGGGAGGATATCTCTCATCCTCCAGGATACCAACCACTGCAAACATTGCCATCACAATGCCTGCAGTGACTGATAACCGTAGGAGGATTACTATTATTAAAAAAAAAAAATGTGTATATAAACATGTTTACAGATACATAAATAAATTAATTAAAAGAGTGAGATATCCCAACCCCTCGGGGAGGATATCTCTCATCCTCCAGGATACCAATCACTGCAAACATTGCCACCACAATGCTTGCAGTGACTGATAACCGTAGGAGGAGGATTATTACTTTTATTAAAAAAAAAAAAAACAAACAAACATATATTTGTACATATCCTCTTACTTTCTTCCTATTCATAATCAATACACCAAACATATGACATATGTTACCATACCACACCCTACATACGAATGTGTATGTAGTTATTTAATAAGGATAATGCCACAAACCAAACAGCTGATCCCCAGAAGGGCAACAATCCACAAACAACAAACACCAGGCAGGCCTGCCTCCACCCTACAATTAAAACAAACACCTACCACCAGACACAAAGAAACAAATAAGAAAACACTGCAAGGGGTTTCGCCCCCCTCTAGTACCTTAAACTTTCCCACTAGCCCTTGGACTGCACTTCTCAACCTCTTTCCCCCAACTTAGCTAGCTGTATCATCACACACACACACACACACACACACACACACACACACACACACACACACACACACACACACATACACACACACACCAGCACCAGTGTGTGTGTGTGTGTGTGTGTATTTATATTTCGCGCGCGCCGAAAACCTTAGGCAGATCATTCTGTTTCATGAATGAACTACTGATGACGGTAGGGGCGCAAGTGTCAACACTGAAGAAAAAAAAAAGAGAGAAAGAAAGAAAAAAAGAAGAATATATATAGGACTGTTTCCGGGAGGGGAAATGTTGTGTTTTATGTTGTTGGCCGTTTTTTTTCATGGTATTAATTATATTGATTATATTACTTTTATTCTCTTTTTCTTTTAACCAACCGCATAGAAGAGCACATTCTGCCTCATGGGAGATCGTATAATAATCTGTTTACTTTTTTATAGTTTTAATGATTCTCTTTACATTTTAAGATTCCTTTTAAATTAAATCCCCTTTTTTAAAGGAAAAGGTCTTTTATTAAGAGGGGAAGACACCGCTATCTCTTGATAACGACGCGACCTTCACCTCGTTTGACCCGAGAGTCCCCTCATTTTTTTAGTCATGCTTGCTGGGAGAGGTATATATAGGTCCCGAACGGCCAGGTCAAGGGGGGGGGGGGGGCATCTTTTAGCCGTGAGGCGCTGTTCCATGGTCGCGAGGGTAACGGAATTAAAAGGCGGTAAGGTGACATCTTTGTCACCTTTTCACTCTTTTTAACGAGGTGATGTGCTCTTTTATCTTTTTTTTTGACAGTTTGATCCATTTTTAGGATAGTTTTTACTTGCATTCAATTCAATTTAAAGATTTTGATAAACTTTTGTAACGATTTTCTGTTTTTTAAAGACTTCATTGTCCCCCCTCGCGTTCCAAAGACTTTTGATTAAAGTAATTTGATTAACTTCAGTACCATAAGTCTGCACAATCGACACGCACTCCATCTCGGCATAATCACGCTAACCAGTGTTGACCCTCGAACCTTGGTACTTTCTATACACTTTCACTTGCTTTCTTTCAATTTTACTTACACTCTTCTACATGCCTCTCACTTTCCGATCACTAAACTTACGTTCCTAGACAAATTAACCAGGTGGTGGCAGTTAGAACATTTCGTACGAAGGGTCGAAGGTAAATCTTGTAGATCACGACAAAAGCACTGGACTCCGACCCTCGTGGTCTCGAGTTCAATTCCCCGTCGCGGCGGCCGTAAAAATGCCTGCGCTCTGACTGCTCGCTCGAGCCCAATTTCATGGCGAGAAAATATATCGCCTTGAGAAGTCAAACGCAGGTGTCGCAGCCGTGGCACAAGTGTTTGCGCGCCGAACCGCGTTTGATTAGGAAGGGCATCCAACTAAGCAAGGTGGCACACCCAAATAATCTCTCAATAGTGAATTGACAGAGGTCTATATCCTACAGTGAAAAAAATGGCAGTTCAAAAAAAAAGAAGAAAAAAAAAATGTATGCGTGTGTGTGAGTAAATAAGTGAGTGTATGTGTATGAGTGTGTGTATGTGAGTAAATAAGTGAGTGTATGTATATGTGTGTATGAACATGTGCATAAGTGCGTCTTTTAGTGCATGTAAAAGTGTATGTGCTAATTGGAATGGTAGACGTTTGTGTATGTATATATAGATATACATATATATATATATATATATATATATATATATATATATATGTATATATATATATATACATATATATATATATATATATATATATACATACATACATATATATATATATATATAAAAAATATATATATATACATATTATTTATT